CCTTTCAAGTTCGAGCCATTCAACTGTGTTCTCTGTTTTCACGTCATAAGAAACTATACAAAAAAGTCATTGTATCAGGATATTGATATTGATCTTTAACCTTGTAATTTGAGCTAACCCTGAGGGGTTACTCAATTGGTCAGGTCTTGGGTTTGCTCTTCAATGGTCACCAGTTCGAGTTCCCTCAGGGTCACTGAGGTGAGTACCTGGCCTTAAATTTCAGGGTCTCGTGGAATTAGTCGAGGTACGCGCAAGCTGGTCCGGACATCCACGGTTATAAAAAAAAAAAAAAACTTTTAATTTGAACTCCGATATGAGATGTGTTTCGGACTATTTCTATACAAGTCGTCTATTGATTACTTCTTATTCTCGAGGTTTTTGTTGATCATAATTCTATATTTATTAATGCCATTGTATTTGACAAAAGATAAAACTATTTCTGGAATGTTTACTGGAAAAGTTGCATGTTCACATTCACTGTAAAGAAGGTAAAAAGCTTGTGATATTGGACTTGTGGTGGTTTAGTTTGTTACAAATATCACAGGCAAGAAACATGCTACATGTACGTTGTTTTTTTACATTAACTTTGATGTCCTTCCATATAGTATCCATCACAACCTTTGATTTTTTCAACACCCTTTCATATCACTAGTCAAATTTTGATACAAAAGGGAAGTCATCATTAATGTAAATAACAATGTAAATTTATAATAATTCTTTAGGTAATTGCTATAGGTGGAAAGTCAAAATTGAAACAAAAATATGAATTACCCTATTATATGACAAACTAGAAGATAAATGGGATGACTAACATGAAACAAATACGTAAGTTGCTGACTTCTAGTTAAAATTGCTTGATATTTTTTTATACTCTTTTCTAATTCCTCGTTTGGTAGAAATTAAAATTAGGGAAAATTGTAGCGCCGGTCTCAAACCTTTCATTTTGTTGTTTTCTAATTCCTTGTTTGGTAGAAATTAAAATTAGGGAAAATTGCAGCGCCGGTTTCAAACCTTTCATTTTGTTGCAGAATACACCCTAACCTTTTATTTTTACGACCGTAGTCCCAAACCTTTATACTTAGTTGCAGAGGAGGTCCAAATCGTGGATTCCGTCCAAACTTGTGTTAGTCATTTGGAAAATTTCAATTTTGACTCTAAATAAGGGGTAAAATTGTCAATTTATAATTTTTAAATAAAATAACTAAAAAAAAACTTCACCCCAACCCCACCCAAAATAAAAAACCAAAACCTGCAAATGGCAGCCGGTTTCATTAACCAAGAAAGCAAACCAAACTTTCCCAAAAAATCAATTCCGGTATTCTTCCATCCTCAATGGCTTCCTTCAAATCCTTTGGCAAACTCCCAAGACTCCTACTGGCCTCAGCTTTGTTTTTGCTTCGCTTCGCCTTGGTGCAAAAAGAGAGTGTGGCGTCGTTGGTGAGAGATTGAGGGTGGTGGAGATGGCCATTTTGGCGACGGGTCGCGGCGGAGACTGTGGCGCCGGTAGCGTCTCTTCTAACAAATTGCTGGCTGCATTTTGGTTTTTTATTTTGGGTGGGGTGGGGTGGTGGTGAAGTTTTTTTTAATTATTTTATTAAAAATTTACCCCTTATTTAGAGTTAAAATTGAAATTTTCCAATTGACTAACAGAAGTTTGGATGGAATCCGTGTTTTGGACATCCGCTGCAGCTAAGTATAAAGGTTTGGGACTACGGCCGTAAAAATAAAAGGTTAGGGTGTACTCTGCAACAAAATGAAAGGTTTGGGACCGGCGCTGCAATTTTCCCTTAAAATTAAGATTTTAAACTAAGTTAAAGTTAATAATTAATTTTAACTACACATTTTATGAGATTCACAATTTTTCAATCACACATTCTATCAAATTTTATTAAAATCTACTAAAAAATTGATTTTAATCCATATCAAACAAGGGCTTAATTTTTTAAGTGTGTCCATATTTTTTCTACGAAAAATTCTCTCCAATTACCCTACAATGTTTGTTCTTGCTTTTCTCTGTTTTTTTTTTTAAAATCTTTCCCAACAAAAAAACAACTCTTTCCTTTAATAATTATTTGTTAAATTGCCTTTATCAAAAAAAATTATCGAATCGTCTAAATTGGTGCTCTAACACTTCATTATTCTTTTGCAGTCCCAACTTAATGTTAGAGAACTTGTGGCCCTCTGAGAGGCTGAGAATGCAGTTCCAATGAAAGTTGAATTAGACCAATACTCCCTCCCATTTATACAAGTTCACTTTTCTTATTTTCTTGCCCGAATTATATAGTCTTATTTCTTTATTGAGAAAAATAACACTATCTAGCAATAGTGGTGCTAGAGCATCAATTTAGATATAAATATGTGATATATCATAACAAATGAATTATAAATTCTTGTATTGAATTGAATTTATAATTTAATGACGCAAGTGATGCTACGTAAACATGTGTTAAACACTACCGTGCTAAATAACATTACTCTATTGAGAATGAATTTTTTTTTTGTCAAAATTTTGTTTACTGATAAATCCTTATTTAATTTGCTTAGTAACAATCAATTTTTCTTATTTAATCTTGAAATTGTACAAATGTAAAAATACCCACTTCTTGAAATCATTGAATTTCTTTGTGGTTTCCAATGAATTTGATCAAAATAATTTATGAATGTGAGAATTGAAAATTAAATTATTTAATTTTTTTATTACTTTCAACAATAATTCACTATTAGTTATTGATAATTAAATAAGGAAAAACAAGATTTCTTAATTGGTATGAAAACCAATATAAGTTGGCCCAGGGACTAATTTTCGTCATTTTCCATAAATTTCTGGTTGCACTTGCATCCCTATTATTTTTTGAGAAAAGGTATATGTACGGAAAAACTACTTACAGAAACCTTACAGAAAAATTAATTTCCAAGAGTACCCTTCATACATAATTTGCAAATAGGAAGCACCACAAGTATATAAAAACTACAATTATAGTCTCAATAAAATTTAAGAAACAAGGAAACCTAAGTTCCAAATAACTAACATAATTCCGCTGACTCTGCGCACTCTGGTGTATCAAAAAAGAAATATCATATCTGTATACACCACTTGTTTTCAGAAAAGAAAGTAACTAGTTTTGAAGATAGGAAAGCTTTTAATAAGGTAATCACTTATGAAGTTCTAAACTTCATAAGGTGAGTATCAAAGGTATGTAAATATAGTAAGTCAGCATGTATTATTTCA